CCCCCCCCCTCTCTCTCTCTCTCTCTGTTTGAACTCAGAGATATGCTAAATATCTTACTAACCTCGCGTCCTTGGTTCGTTCTGCAAGTTACGGAATCTCTCGTTTTCAGCTCAGATTTACACCAAAAAAACTGTCTCATATTACTAGTGACTAAGTCCTGTTTGTATCGGTCAGTTTTGCATCTGATTAGCTGAGGGGCCGCGGCGAGTTTTCTATACCAGTGGCAGGAAAAAGCGAAGCAAGCCCAAAGCTTTACTGAAATGCTTTTCAATTCTTGATTCAAAATAGCTATTGTAACAGCTGAACTTTTTGTTTGCAGTTCAGACAGTTTACTGACCAGGACATCACAAGAAATTATCCGCATGATGATTTCCTCGTCAATGTAGGACGTGTGGCTTTAGCGCTAACACTTCTACTAAGTTTTCCACTGCTTATCTTCCCTTGCAGAAACGTTATTAACCGGGTATGATAGAAAACATGTTATTTCCTTAAAGTTATGTGGATAATGTCCGTCTTACTGAGTTGGAACGAGTTATGTCTAGACCACGGGCTCGCGGCCATTGTTAGTTGCATGCTATTTTCAAGATTTTATTCTGTTGAAAGAAAAATTTTCCCAAAATATTTTGTTTCTTTATCGAAAGGAGAAGTATGCTAACCAAACTGTATGATTTTTATCTTCGCAAAACTTGTATTGCGTATTAGGTAATATTTACCTGGATGGATATTAAATATGTTGATAAAGTTAACTTACTAAAATAAAATTATTTGATATTCTTCTTTTTATTGTTATTATTATTATTATTATTATAATTATCATCATCATTTCTCTTTTCGTTTCTCGTAACAGTTAATTTGGCGGATAGAGTCCAAAACTCTTTTCCAGTCCCAGCCGTCTATGACGACTCGCTCATGGGAGTACTTTAGCAACGCTACAGGTACAGGTCCTTCTCAGTTAATGTGGCTCATAGAGACTGGGCTCCTTGTCTTCATTGGTTACATTTTGGCGTATTACATTCCTCAAGTAAGTTGAATCTCCTGAGTTTTCTTAATAATAAGTGGCTTAAGTTCGATAAACTAAATTCGTCCTTGAATAAAGGGGGTAAGTTTCAAAAGAAACCGTGGTGCTGCGTCGGTGGGGAGTATAAGAACGTAATTTGGTTTTATCAACTAAGATGATGATGTAAGCGGCCACCATAAAGAGTTTCTAAAGCTGAAACTAGAAACTTTTTAGGGCAGCCAATTTACGTTGTTAACGCAGTTGATATAGCCAAATTATCTTCCATTCGTCCTTGGTTATACTTCTGATGCTCGTTTACACTTAGTAGTTACTAATTCGGAAAACGAGTCGTAGCATAATTTACATATATATATATATATCTGTGCGTAACGGTTCTTTAATAAACTCTTAACGACTGGTCCGAGCTTGCCCGAGTTGGAAATCTACTTTTCCCGGAAAACCGGACGGGTTTTAATTTTGTTTTCTAAGAGGAAGCCGAGCGAAACACTGAGATTCAAGGGGAAAAAGTAATCTGTTTCCCTATTGGCCAGTCATCAAGGGACTTGTTACAAACTCAACGAAGACATCAGAAGCTGCAATGTAAAAAAAAAGTCGAAAAATTATTGATAAATCACATATAAGTCCATAAGACGGTAAATACCCCAATGCTTAAGATGTCACTCCACCTTTGATCACATCCTGTTCACGTGCAACGACAGCCGTCGGTCAACATTCGCTGGTAAAAGTGCACTGTTGCCCTCTGACGTCATTTTTTTTTACTAAATTGCCTGCTCAGACTTTTGACCGGAAACACTTTCATTGTTGGATATCATGTGACTCCAGAATGAACGATGAGAACATGCACTGAGGAAATAGAATTCCAGTCATACAACAACATCACCTACTGAGTGTACTTTAGATCTATGTGCCCCCTAGCAATCACTCCTTCTTTGGATCCATGACGTAGTCATACTTATGTCCAAATGAAACCATCCATAAGGTCATTGTGCTAAGTGACTGAGTATCAAGATATATTTTTTTGCTTGTCTTTGTTTTCAGGTTGCCATGGTTTGGGGATTCGTCGGTGCAATTGGGACCACCATTTTAATCTACATCCTTCCGCCAGCGTTTTACCTGCGCGTGCGCCTTCACCCACCTCGACCAGACCTTAAACAGATAGCGGCGTGGGGCCTAATGTTAACAGGATTTGCTGTGCTTGTCGTATGCACCTATCAATCATTTGCAAACGTTATCGATCCTATTCCAAAATTGGTGCGGCCGCATGACCTTAGCAACCAAACAACATCTGGATAAACATCCACGTGTTTTTGCCGCAAAAGACACCAGAAGTATCCCTGCTTTAGTATTGCGCGACAGCCTGAAAATGTCACGAGAAGAACTACAACGACAAGCGACTGAGAGACGTCATCTACAGCTTCATGTTAAGTGGCTGAAGGATACTTTTTGATCGTAAGAGAACGTAGAAAATCATGAACGAAATTTTCCTTATTCAGTCTTCAACTCCATGAATTAATACTTTACGATGGGAACATGGTAACACGCGCATTGAAAATTTAATTTAAAGCATTTTCAATTGAGTGTCGAAAGTAATCTGGGACAGCTTTGTGTTTGCTTTACTTCGCTCTGTGATTGGTCCAGAAAACTCGCGACACTAGCTAAACCAATCAGATTCGAACTAAAACCAATCACGACTTGGTCACCCGCGTTTCCCAGCGCTTTAGACAGTTTGGTGGTGTATTTATTTGGGTTCTCATTGGCTCTAAAAGGTATTTTACTTTCCTCTGATTGGCTACTGTGATTGCGTTGGTTTTGGTTTTATGACACTCAATCGAATAGCTTTCTATTTTATTTAAATATTTAAATTTATCCAAATTTTACAGCGAAATAAAGGTTTTCTTTTTTGTAAGGTGACTTGATACACTTTCAATATTTCAATTTGACATGAAGTAAGAACTGTTTCCAGAAATCATCCAGAAATTATTTGGTTACGTTACGATAAAATTTATCAAGGCTCTGTATTATCCCCCCCTCCCTCTTTGGCAGTCAGTTTTCTAATGACCCCCCCTCCCTTTACGCAGCATCGACTGATTCCCTCCGTTCCCCTGAAAACCATGGTAATCCCCCTTTTCAATCTCCCGACCCCCTCCCCCCTCGGGCGGTAAATAGTGACTGGCCCCAACTATCTATTTCAATATATTAGCAACGAACATTATTTAAATAAAAGATTAAAATATTAAATTATGATGCGTTCAAATTATTTTCAAAATAACGTATGAAATTTTCTTCTGACGCATATTCTAACGCTTTTATCAACTTATACAAAGATATGTAATCCCGAATAAAATGCAATTTTTCTCCCTCATTTCCTAGATTACATACCATACCGTGTAACGTTTATCATTCATAATTTGAATTTCTCGACAAATTGGCGTCAGAGTCCTATTTTAAATCGATTGTCGCTTCTATTTATGTTTTTTATTTGGTGAAAGAAAAAATTAGCGATAAAATATGGCAATTACTTTTATGGACCAGCTAGCATGATCCAGGCGTTCAGTTGGTAAAAATAAGCGCGCTAGTTATTGTATTTATTCCATTAAACGCCGCCCTAGAATAAACGCTGCGGCATGATACGGCGTTTAGTTGAATAATAGACCCAAAAAGCACACAAAGATCATTGCTTCGATCGCGGTTGGAAATTTTGAGTGAACCAGACAATTTTTTCTTAATGTACCAGCTCTGATGTCGAGAAGGCACATCCGACATTGGATTTTTTTTCACTTTATGCATTGCAGTAGTATTAACATGCAAATTGCGAAATTGAGAAAGAAAATGAGTTTTTAGACAAGCACTAAAACATCTTTCTGGTTTTTTTTTTTTTTTTTTTTTAATTAAAATGGTCAGTCATCATACTATTGTTTGGAGGAAATAAATTGGATTTTAAATAAACGCTACACTCGAATCACGAAAAATTTTAATAAACGCCGCGGCGTAAGGTAACAGCATTGAAGAAGCGGAAGAGTGAAAAAAAAAAACCAGAGAGGTCTGAGTCGGGTCGCAAAATCATGTAAACGCCTGTAAGACTTTTGGACCCGTCCCAAACCTCTCCCGCTTTTTCACTCACTCTCCTATTGCGCCTTGTACTATTTCGCTCCCTTTTATTGACTGAAAGCCTGGAATAAGCTATTATAATTATTTTTGTTATGACGAGTTCACCATCTTGAAATGGTTGAAATATGTCTTGCTTTTGCGTTAATAAATATGAAGACATATTCTTGTTAAACAGTCTTACGAATTACTTCGTTCGTTATTTATGTGTTTAAACACAGTTTTAGAGTGAGTTTCTAATTGAGTGGGAAAGTAACATGGATTTACACTGGTTTTGCTTTACTTCGCACTGATTCGTTTACAAAACTCGCGCCACCCTTTCAATTAACCAATCAGATGCAAAACTAAAACTTGTCGCAATTTGACATGGTTTGATGCTACTCTGGTTTAAAGAGTAAACAAACCATGTCTGATTGTCCACCTGGTTGCCGTGTGAACTTTACTATATTTTGTCGCAATTTGTTAATCGCGTTTTCCCGCCACGGATAATTCGTTTATTTCAACATTGAGTCCTCATTGGCTCCTTCTGGTACAGAGTGGAACACTTCGGTCGAATGTCTGAGCATATATATGAGAATATTAAAACTATTAAGTGGCCTAAATAAAAAGGCGATGTACCCAACACAGTGCATTCAAGCTAAGAAAAACGCCACAAACCAGTAAGTCACGTTCTTTAAAAAGCGTGAACCTTTTTTTGGTGAAGCTTTAATTAAACAAAATGGTTTATCAAATAAGATCCTCTCAGTAAGCTGTAATGTAAACCTTCACACCTTAACATCAGTATGCACATTCTCCATACTGTTCTCTGTACAATTCTTAAGGCTGACAAGGAGAATTTGTTTAACAATCAAGAGCTTTTTTAGTTGGTGATCATTTCCTTGATTCTCGTAACCTTAATGTTTGATTTACGGATGATATTGTTTGGAGAAATTAGAAGCTGGTCACTCTTGTGGTTTGAAGGGTAAAGCAATTGCAGAAAGAAACTTCAGGCTTCAACAGGATTCGAATCCGTGTCTACCTGATTCTGGAAATTTATTTGTTATTTTATCACAAATTTTCTTAAACTTTGCCTCGTTTACTAGCCGAACTAGACTCAATCAAACTGTTTTATTCCACTATCGTATTCGCTTACTAAAAACTGGGTGTGTAAAAAGCTACTCTGCAAAATTTGTAAGAAATCACTTTCTTATACGATATTCTCTGCATTGTGATTGGCTGTTGCTAAGTACTGATTTAAAAGGTCATTCAAGGTTGCGTTGATCATGTAAACCGATCGATGTCCCAAAATCACTTTAGGCGGGGCTTCTAGCTCTTGACATAATGTTCACACTCATCATCTGACAGGTGTCACGCACGAATCACAAAGTCTCCGACAAAATTGTAAAACGGTTTATATGAAGAATGCCCTTAATTATATAGGCTTTGCGTTCGAAAAGTCTCATGTATTTCTTTCCCATGACATTTTTACCTTCTTAATTTTTCTATGAACATTTCGAGTTAATTACCGTGAATTCTTGGAAATTTTATGTAGCACATTGGCGCACTTAACCCACTAAAATACGAGAGGAAGAAATAAAAACGAAAGGAAGACAAAAAAAGGTTGAGAGCATACGAATATCTTTTTGACTGTAAGGCTACGAAAAAGCATATTCTTCGATTGACTTTTACCAAGTTGCATTGACTTCAAAAATAATGTTTCGAACGCGCCGCGTATCGAGGCGTAAGTTTTTTTTAAAAATTTCGCTTGCGGTGATAATATCATATCAGTCTCTTTCTAAGATCAGGGTCCACATTTCTAGTTTCGCTGCCCTAAGAATACAAAAATTAAACATTGATGTTTTTGCCATCAAACCAGCCACAGGATAGAAGTTGTCATTCATTTGCCAAACAAAACTGAACGTTTTCTTGCTTTTTCACCCGACAGCTCTAAGAATTTATTCACACCACCTGTCACTCACGGAAAATTACATGAATTCATGTGCATGATAAGTTAAATTTTACATTCAGGCTTAAAAATTGATTAACAATGGTTCTTCTTTCAGAAAACTCTATAAATTCACACATTGTAAATTAATATTTTTGGCGGAAATTCACCGATGTATAATATTACCAATTTTTACTTGTTATTGTTTTCACAGCGAAAATGATTCTCTATTTTCATCATTGTCGAGATCAGACATTAATTCTACATCCGGGATGGCAGTCAGCGAAGGAATTGCCCGGAGCACAACATGCGGTTTTTGCTCTTCTGTACTCGTTCGCTTGGTCAAATACCATGTCTTTTTAAATTGCAGCCTTCCTAATTTTGGAGGTCGTTTACAACGTAAGCCGTACCAAACTTCATTGAGAATATCGCGATATCCCTCCCGGAAGCGATCGTTTCTGATGACAAAGATTATGGGGTTGATCGAAGAATTGCAAAATCCGCACCAATATGCCGCAACGCCGAGCCCGTAAGGCAATTTGGAAACGCCTACGTTTCGAGTTGCTAACACAATCAGGAACACAAATGGCAACCAGCAGAGTATAAAAACCATCAGAACTAATAGAAGCGTATAGATGATTCTTCGCTGAAGTCTCATTACCTCAAGCCCACCGCTTGTATATTTAGCAATTCTGTTCGTGTGCTTGCGAACTGCGAAAAAAATCCTTATGTAAGCAATCGTCATAATTAGGAGTGTAATAACATATGCGACTAGCACGAGAAATAATAAGTAAAGCCTCTCCAATGTCGTCCTTGGATAGGCAACTCCACACGAGAGAGTGCTTGAATTGTAAGCAAAATGTCCCCATCCCAACACGGGTCCCATTGAAACTAATGTCGACGCAATCCAGACTAATCCGATCATGTACCTTGCTCGGCGAATCGTGATTGCACGTGCGAGCGGTTTCACCAGCACATAATATTGTTCGATGCTCATAATTGTGAGCGTAAAGATTGAAACACAAAAGAAGAAAGACCCTAAAAATCCGTGGAGTTTGCAGAGCGATTCCCCCATGATCCATTCACGCGAAATGCATGTGATGAGCGAAAACGGCATCGCTAACAAAGTTACTCCCAAATCGGCACAAGCAAGATTCATAATAAACATATATCGAGGCGTCTGCATGTTCGAATTTCTGTATACTACTATAATATTCATTGTATTGGCGACAATAGCTACCACCATGATTGAAATTAGCGATGTCGCCTGAAACGCCGCTTCGATGGGACGGTATTGAATGTGTGCCTCGCTTGAGTTAATATTCATTTCTGCTCCTACCATAATCACTGGAATAAAGTAGTAAGTTTAAAGCGCATTTCCGTACATGGGCCGATATAAAAGATATTGCCGCTTCACCATTTAATGAGATGAAATATTGTGGTACCAGTCGATGATATCGAACCGAATCCCTTTGATCTTTAGCACAGATGATAAATATTATGACATATGAGTTGAATCGCACCAATAGGGCATGCCAACTCAAAGATGATAAATGTTTCCAATAAAATCCCAGGTAGTTAGCGGTGAAAATTCATCAGATCTCTGTCTTCACGATGCAAATATTAAAAATTAAAACACCAGCAGGTCACTATCAGTTGTTAGGACTTGTAAATTTTCCTCAATCGTCGCATGTCAGATGTGTCTCGTAGCAACATGTTTGGCGCGTGAACAAGTTCAGTCCACCAATGTTCGCAGTCAATAGTCACCGGTGTTTTGACACCTTCAACGTAGGCGAAATGTGCTTAGCTCACCTTGCAATAGCCTGCGGAAGTTTAGAGATCCACAGCCCTTTTAGATTCTGTTAATGGTAATCTCTTGTAAATAATTAAGCCTGTCATCTACACTGACCTTCAACGTCGCGCCAGGATCAAAACAAATCTCTTCTCAAAGCTGTTAATTATGACTAGATGGTTTTTCAAAAATGCAAATTCTTGTCTCTAACTTAACAAATGACTGAATAAACAATACTAACCTTGTACTTTACCTTTTAGAGATTGTTGAGTCCATTCATTAGAAATTTTTTTTCGAAAGAGTAGGTATTCAGAAAGCCGAGAAGTATTCTACGATCGATATTTTCGCAACTGTAAATTTTAAAGAATCCTATGCAGATGTTCGAGAAATTTCACAACGTTTTTCATGATGTCAATGACGAACAAACAAGTTAATGCGAAATGAAAAAACTACTAATGATCAAGTCCGGTTGACAAACTCCTTTGGGAGTGCCGCACAATTAGCAAGCCAATGAAAACACTGTGAAAGGTACTTGAGGCCATTACAGGTCGACAGGGTCAACAAAAAAGTGCCAATTCCGATCGAGGACGAGATGGTGTTGTTCCTTAGATGCAATATCAAAACAGGAACAGGAAAAAAGTAACGTCAAGGGGATATTTCGCAAGAAGGAAAAAAAAAACCACATTCAATTAACATTTGCCACAAATATTGACGGAATTTTGTGGTTTATTCATGTTAGAATGCTAGCTTAACACGAAAGACCCTATCCGTTCCATTTAGTCAAGTTTAATGAGCAGTACATTTTTGATCTGCATGGGATGTCTTTCCACAATTTGTTGTCCTTCGAGTTCACATTGTACGCAAGAATTGACTTTTGTCAGGACTACTTATTTAAAATAATATTAATGAAGAAAAAGCCTCTGAAGTTTTTTTTGTGTGGAATCGAGGAAAGAAGGAGAATAATTGGTGCGGAGCGTTGAATTTGGTTGCTGCTGGCGGCCAATTTGTTTTCGTAAAAACCCCAGTTACCTCAGTTGATTCCTAACGGTCATGTGTTTGTATTTCGATCGAAATGCGGCAAAGTACAAGCAACCAGGCTTATTTGTATTCAAATACAGTCTTCTTTTAGGTTTCGAGTAAATATAACAAAGCTTATGCTTAATGCGTGTCCTCTAGTATGTGTCCTCTTGTGAAGCCATTTTCGCAACTTTTAGTGCAAACATTTTCAAGGTAGAGTGAACATTTCAAGTTTCAATGCCTGCCCTCTCTGTCCTAATGTATCCCTCGCGGAAGGCAGGCCTTTTTTGTAAGGAGTATATGAATTGATAGTAAGAGTTACTCTGAAAATCTTTGCGAAAACATAACACAAATGTAGAATTGCTTCCTCATCCTGTTACAAGTTATTGGTTTTAGCTGAAGGACGTGGCAAATCAGACCATAAAAAGAAAAACGCGACATTATATTGGATGAGGTGGAAGATTTTATGAAAATGCCCCTCTCTAGGGCAAGATTATGTTTCTGAAACTAGATCTTAAAGGCGCAAAAAAATTAAGAGTTGGGTTTGGAGAGGGGAGGTCTATTGACCAATCGTAGCCCCTCATTGCCATTCGTTCGAATCGTAAATGACTATTGGGCTCAGTACCAGGCTTTTCCAACAGTTCCTTCCCAGTCCCCTAGCCCTTAATGTTCTTGCTCCCTTTGCCACGCGTTCTTTCGCGAGACTCCCGCTCTGCGCACGCATCTCCAGCCTCCCGCTCTGCTTGGAGACAGAAAAAACACTGCTATGCATGCTTAGAATGCACTGGAATTTCTCGTGTACCAACTTTATTTTGAACCTCTGTTTTAAGTGATATTACAAGATTCCAAATTATCCCAAATATTGGCAATCACAATCTTCATCCTGGATGTTCATGTAGTCGTAATCGTTGTTTACAACTCCGCACATAAGTCCACCCATGTTGCTACAGTCCTGGCTTCCGGTGCAGAACAGAAACGGACAGTTACACCACGTACCAGAATTGTCGGTGGTATGAAAGTCATCACAATCTAATATTTGACCCATGTAGTTAATTTCTTCGTGCACCTTTGGCAGGACCTCTAGTATGAAAGAATAAATGAAATTTGACCACTTAAATAAGGCCCTTCCTGGCCGGCTAGCCTACGTGTAGCCGTACCCTCCTCCCCCCCCCCCCCCCCCCCCCCAAGGAGTAATGCTTCTGTTTTTCCTTGGGGGAGAGGGTACGGCTACTCGTACGCTATTCCTAGCCAACTATATAACAATGGAGAGCAAGGCAAAATGAAAATATCAAAAAGTAAAGAAAAATATCATATTGATGGGTAGGTTGAAAAGGGACACGAAGTAACTTACGTTTGCATTTTTGCCAAAGAAATAAAGCGTTTACTTTCAAAAGACCCCAATGAAAAATATCGTTCAATGGAGAGCAAAAAAATAAACTTCCAATCTATCTGAAATAAACTCAGACACGTATATTATGGTCTATTGCCATTAGTGCCTGAATAACTGTTAGCAAAAATATACTATGTTGGTGTCACGCTTGTTCAGTCTTGTCACGCAACAAGCTCTCTCTTCCGCTGCGTGGTGAGACTAAGAAATGGCCTGATGGCAGGCTAAGACAATGCTTACTGCTTTTCCCAATCAAAATTATTCAGTTACAGCTACTTGCCGAAAAAATATTCTTCCACATAATTTTGCTGTGGAAAGCGAACCAAAACTCTATTTTATCTCTAGTAACCTCAAACAATAGATAATTTGCAGTCTCCATTCTTCAAACAGGTGGAAATACATTAGACGAAAAGAGAAAATGATCATATTTCAAAGGTTTTCACGTGGGCAAAGTAACCTGGGCTCCTTATTTGGTTGTTGCCTATCTGGACTTTGCCCTGTGCGTGCAGAATACGTAATAAAATGCAGGGCTGTTTACAAATAATTGACACTTGATTGGGTGAAGTACAAGGAAGTTCAAAGCGAATTAGATTAATAGAAAACGTCCGAGTACGTGACAATTGCGTGGAAAACTGACTAACAGTCACACTCAGTTCCATGTAAAATTTTTTAAGTGGGGGAGGATGATGTCTAGGTCGTCTACTGGAAAATAGCACTTCCCCTGAGAAAGTCTAAGCCATAGTGACAAGTAGGCACGTAGCTATATGAAACGAAATAACGTAAAATAAAATGACATGTAGTTATGTAAAGAAATAGCGTTTAAACACAAGATGAAATTAATGGAGAACTTTAAAAAGCGAAGAAACAGTCATTTCAGCATGCAGTAGACCCAGAGAGTAAATATGCTTCTTACGTAATTATAAAATTGCAGTAGTGTAAATCACCTGGTTTGAATCACCAATAATTTACTGCGTACTCTAAAGTGGTGCCTCGCACCTTGTACTCAACACAACATAATTTTTGACTCACTGACAAAAATGGTCAGTGATTTGTACCTCTTTTTGAGCCTTGCACTTGGACCGATAGGAATACAAGCGAAAATAACAAACTTATAGTAGCGCACTGCAAAGCCATAATTTCTGAAAATGAATGAAAAGATAACAAAACAATGAAAAAAACATCTAAACGAACATTGCTCGACGGAAGTTTAACACGTCACAAAACTTTGTGAACTGAAGACGAAAAGCTTGAAAATGTCATTAAAATTAAACTGAAAAACGATTCCGTAGTAATAAACGATGGTATTCATTGCTTCAAGCTTATCATTTACTAGAATTCTTTTTATGCATTTCGCCACGCAAGACTCTTGCTCCGTAGATGATCTTCGGTTGGTGCAGAGTGTGCGAGTCACAGGAACCTACCACACGCCCTGTCTTACCAGCTAGTACAATCGATCACAACTGGCAGCCCTGTTGCTTCATTCTCTCATTTTAAAAGTCAAAATCATTCTAAGCTAGAGGCAAATATTTCAGTGAAAAATAGGGGCAAACTATTAGTATTAAAACTAAGACTGATATGCAATATGGAAAGCCCCTTGGTGTATGAACCTTGCATCAAATTTGGAAAAGGGAAGCACACCAAGTTATTTGCCCAATAAGCAAGTAGATTGTATTTTCTGGTACTATCTAGTCAATACACCGCTTTGTATTATTTTTTTAATCATTATAATTTTTTAAATAATTTTTTAATCAATTTTTTTAAACTATTTTTAATAATTTTTTTAATTATTTTTCTAATTATTTTTGTAAAAACTTTTTAAATGATTTTTTTATTAATTTCTTAAAACTTTTTTGCAATTAGTTTTTTAATTATTTTTAATTTTTTAATTTTTATAATTTTTTAATCATTTTTCAGTTAGTTTTTCACAACTTTTAAAATTTTTTAAAATTTTTTAATAATTTTTTAATTAATTTTTTAATTAATTTTTTTTAGCAATTTCTTTTTAAAATTGAACTGGTGAGCAGCACTCTGCGAACAGTAATTGTAAAACTTTATTTTAACTGTCGTAAAATTCTTTAAGGTGTTTTACAAGTTAAAACTAAACGCTTGCATTTAAAAGCCATAGTTAGCGGCTATACGGTGGCCAATGACCATGAAGGCTTGGTCGGACATACGAACAGGTACAGGCGAAGTAGTGAAAAATTTGAAAATTTCTTTTGGGCAAGGCATTTCTTTCTTAGATCTTTGTCTATATGGGGATAATTCCTCACGCGTCCTACTTTTTCTACTGTCAGGAGCCTTTTAACAAATATTTGTGCATACCTTTCGAGTCGTTTCACCTCTCTAACAACAAGAAAGCTTTTATAAAAGGGGAGCTTATGAGATATGCTAGGAACAGTTCTACCTTTAAGTCTTTCTCCGAGACTAAGGAAAAGTTCTGTGGAAACGACTGCCTAGTGGAAACGTACGACCGAAGTCTAATTTCTTTCCTGAATTTTTTCAGGAAACCCCCGAGGCCATTATATTTCGGCTTGTTCGGTTTATGCCGCGGTTCAGGCACAAAACAAAATCAAATACAAAATTCATAAAACAAACAAACAAACAAAAAACAAACCACCCCTATAGTTTTACTTCGCTGTGCTTTTTCGTTTCTTGTATTTATTATGCCTTCTCCTTTTTCGCTCGACCAGGAGGTCTCGATTTAAGGTGGGAGGAATGTAACGATAGGATTTTTA